CAAGTTGACACAATGTATCAACCAGAATAGTAGATATTTGCAGGGGCCAGTGCTCAGTGACAGAGCGCCTGCCTGGCAAGTAGTTCAATTCCCAGTACCAAAGGAAAAAAAAAAAAAAAAAAAAAAAAAAAAAAAAAAACCACAGTAGATATTTGATAAATGTATGTTGAATGAATTAATCACCTACTTCTTGCTACCTCCAACTGTAAATTCCAATAATTTTGAAATGCTCCAAGTTTCCTGCATATGTTGTAACCCTTCGAGACCCGGTTTAGGCATTATTGCCTGTGAGAGGCTTTCATAAACTCAGTGGCTCTGCTCCATTCATCCTTGGTTTCATCATACCTTTAGTATCACTATAACAGCATTTGCCACAAGTTACGAATAATGAATGGAAATTTGCCAGACGAGGAAGAAAACCTTCCAGTCAGAAGGCACTCAGGTAAATGCTTGAAAGCCTAAGAGAACATGATAGATTTGGAGAACTAGGAGTGTTCCCTAAAGAGACGGTTTAAGACCCACAAAGGAACAAGAAAGGAATGTGTGCAGGCGGATCAGAAAGGACATTGAAATCATTTGTTGTTTGTCTCTCGGTCACCTAACAGTTGTAGCGCCTCAGGAGCAATGACTATGAATATTTCTATGCCAGAGGCTTAGCACAGTGGCTGGCACAGAAAAGGGCCTCAGTAAATATTTAATTGCCTCCCTGTTGCTTATAGTACAGCAGCCTGCTCTTTCAATCTTACTACTTTCTACTATCTACACACTTAGTACATGTTCATTTTCTCTTTTGTCCTTCACTAGGTCTACAATGCCCCCATTGCTGTGGTAGTGTATAATGGCTAAGAGCATGGGTAGGGCTGAGTTCAAATCCTAGCTGAAGGTCACAGTCACTTCAACCGTTCTGAGCCAGTTTCTTCATCTGTCAAACAGGAGTATAGAAGCACCTTTATCATATGACACTTGTGAGGATTGAGAAAATGCATGAGAATTATTTAGGATAGTCACCTGGTTGAAAGTGAGCACTAAGAGGTTAGGTATTAGTGGTAGTAGTAGTAATGTTATTATTATGCAAATTCAATCATTCAAAACTGAGTCCTACCTAACAGGTGTCAGGTGCTGAACTGAGGGAAACAAAGACGAAGAAGGCCTTCTCCTTGGCTTCAAAGAGCTCCAGATCTAGTGAAAGACAGGCGAGGATAAAGTAACCATGGTATATAGTACCATCACAGTGAGATGAAGAAAGTACTGTAAAAGCTAAGAATAGGGTGCATCACCTGCAAGAGAAACATCAATAAACGCTTCCCAGAAGAAGTAATTATTAAGCTAAGTTACGAATAATGAATGGAAATTTGCCAGATGAGGAAGAAGACCTTCCAGGCAGAAGGCACTCAGGTAAATGCTTGAAAGCCTAAGAAAACATGATAGATTTGGAGAACTAGGAGAGTTCCCTAAAGAGACGGTTTAAGATCCACAAAGGAACAAGAAAGGAATGTGTGCAGGCGGATCGGAAAGAATCTTGTAAGTTGAGTCAGGGAACGTGTCCTTTAACAGAGTGTCCTTTTGGCCCAAAGTTATTCACTTCATTCTTCTGACACTTTTTCCTTTTTGTGGTATTAGGGATTGAACAGAAGGCCTTAACACTGAGCTACATCCCCTGGCCCTTTTAAGTTTTTTGTAGGGGGCAGGGGTGTTGAGACAGGCTGTCACTAAGCTGCCCAGGCACGGCTCAAACTTGTGATTCTCCTGCCTCAAGCTCCTCAATAACTGGGATTACAGGCATGTGCCACTGAACTCAGCTCCTCTAATACTTTGAACGTACCTTAATACTGACTAAATTGTTATTTGATTGTTTACTGGTTTCTCTCATTGAACTCTGAGCCCCTTAAGGGCTCAAACCCTGTGTGAGTTCTTTAAATTTCCTATGCCTAGTTTTCAGGTAGAACACACCAAATGTAGAAAGGTAGAAAGAAGGGGTATGTTCTCCAAGGTAACATAGCTATTCAGTAGGACAGATAGTATCAGACCCAAGTGTAAAGGGTATCTTTTAGTGCTGTTTTACATTCCTCAGACTTGGGTAAGAAATACGAATTGAAATATTTCATTTAATGTAGTCTTCACTGTACTGCATTTTTTACTTTCATGAACACTAGTCAGGGACATTCAAATCTCGGTGATACTACATGAAGAAACTTTAGGCACTAAGGAGTAGGTAATACATAAATTTTGGTAAGTTATAGCGTGTTCTTGGCATTACGTGCACACAATTTGATTTCATCTACAGTGGTACCTTGGTACTCATTGTTAATTAGTTGTAGAAGGCTTCACAAGCATCAAAAAAGATAAGCAGCAAACAAATTACTTTTATTGGAAAGGGTAGTGCGTCACAAGCCCATCAACATTAACGAGTTTTAGCCTGCACATCAAACGACAAGTTTTAGGACAAAATTTTTGCCCCAAAATGTGCTGGACACCAAATTCGACAAATTTCAAAGCAGTCAAGTGCCAAGGTATGACAGTAGTGCTATCGTTAACATTAGAGGTACGAATATTATAATATTACCCACTTAAAACAAAACAGCAATGGACTCTCTAAGGCAGGCCAAAGAAAGTCTAAACTGCCAATTCAAGATAACAAATCTGCATTAAGATTCAATATAATGAATGGATACCCATCATTACTATCAGAGAGTAACATCGGGAAATACTTGAAAGGTTGTCTATCTCATTTCTATAGTCATCCATCAGTTAAATACTTTCTGTTTTTCTCCAATACTCTACTATCTCTCCATTCTAATTCAGTCTACATCTTATTACCCAGTTAATCTTAGCTGTGTAGTATTGAGCAAGTTGCCTGACTTCTCAGGACCTTAGTTGTCTTATCTGCAAAGTTACTGGACTGTGATAGGTTAGTATCAAGCCCCTCAAAGGTACCTAAGGTGTCACACTAAGCAGACTGAGGAAAAGATGGGCCATGAGCTGAGTTGGTAGGCTTCTGTGTATTCTTTTTAAATACATCAGTCATTTTAGAAACTATAGGCCTCTCTAACATTTAGTTTGGAAAAAGAGTTATGCTACTACAAAAAATTTAAGTATCACAATACTTTCATAATTTCTAAGAGCCCTTCTATTTCCTCTAAACTAGGATTTTGAAAAATCTCTCATACACAAAAGAAATTTAACACGATAAAGAGCTTATGCACAGAGATACAACAAACAACTCATGTCTATTCCTTTTTTATGACTTCTTTTTACAGTAATCTTGGTGTCTTTTCAAAGTAAGCTGAAGTGCAATGCATAAAATGACAATTCTAATATGTAATAGGAACTCTGAAAGTAATTAGCAACTCCTACAAAGATTGTTTTGAAAGTCATAGAAAATGGTTTATGAAGTACAGAACCAAATTCAAATTCTGCATATTTTCCACTTAGATAACAGTAAAAACATGTCTTAATCCAAACAAATGCAAATAAGTTATTATTTATTAGTGTCACAATTACTGTTTTCAGGTCTCCTCCACAAATACTGTCTTTCCATTCATGGCCAAAGCTAACCTTTAAAGTTGTTTACTGGAGTGACTACAGGTACTGTACTAGAAAACCGAATGGGTGATTCCCTAGAGCCCCACATCCTCCTCAGATTGTAAAGCAGGGGTTGCAAGAGGAGGTTTATTAGAATCACCTGGGATGCCTTTTCAACTTCCACATAGGCGGCAGGGTCCTCTCCCTCTTGTAAAGCACTGTTCTAGCTTGGAGCTTCGCTCTGTCCTACATGAAAGGTTTTCTTCATCTTTCTTAATCCTACCCCACTGAAGGTTAATGGAGTACAAAGAATTGAACACAGAAGACATCAGCTTTGTCACAAACTTGTTGGGCAAGTCACTTAACCTTTCCTCTGATATTTGAGGTTCCTTCTTCCTGCTTTGAAATTCTATGACTGCATGTCATGTCTGAGAAGCCTTTTGAACTCCTAGCATGGAATGACTTGTCATTTCTTGGATTTCCAACAGCCTGTGCAACACTGTCCTATATTGCCCTCTACTTGCTTTTATATAAAAACGTTTTTCCTTCTCAACCATATTTAATTTAAAATACAGTTTAAAAGTTTATTTTGGGGAGCAGGTAGCGCACCTTCTACCTAAATCTCCTCAACTCAGGGAGTGTCTGAAGGTAATCAGTTAGATATTTATACTGATTTGCTGAAAGCAATGATGTCCTTTCTTTCAAAGTCCTGCAATTGTATTTTACCTCATTACTGTTTAGTACAAAAATGTGAGCCACAAATGTAACTTTAAATTTTCTAGTAGTTTGTTTTTTAAAAATGGAGAAACAATTGAAACTAATTTTTTTAAGAATATTTAACCCAACATATTGAAATATTATCATTTCAACATGTAGTCAACGTAAAAAGTATCGGGATAGAGTTTACATTCCTTTTTTTGGTAATGTCTTCGAAATCTGGTGTGTAGTTTATACATACATCACATCGCAATTTAAAATAGCCACATTCAAATGCTTGGCAGCCATGTATTAAAGAGCCCAGTTCTGCGTGATTGGGCTCCTTTCCAAATGGATTACTATACTTATTTTTCTGTTTATAACTATTCAGTCTAGCTAGAGAGGTGCATCCAGCCAGGGATTCTTTCTGGTAAGTGATACATCTGTAAATCGCTAGCTATTATACAGTGTGGTGGGCGCTGTGATAGAAGAAACCCTGACTAGGCAGTTGAGGGGCGCGGGGTGGGGGGGGGGAGCCAAAGAGGGTTGCACAGAGGAAGTAACTTTTGACCTGGGGACTAGGTGGCCTGAAAGAGACCGGCTGTGGGGAGATAGAAGTCGCAGGTTACCCCTTTATCTAGGCTAAGGAAAGGCTCCACAGAGTGCCAGTCCGGAGGGCGTAGGGGAGTAGGTGGAGAGGAAAGGTGACTTGAAGGGGAACCGGGTATCCGAGGACTGATTGGGCGGAACCCGGAACTCTGGTGGGTGACAGAAACCGGAAGGGGGCGCCACTTGCACGTCTCACTGCTGCGACCAGACCTTCGAACTGTGAGAGCGGCGCGGTAGCCGGAGCGCCTGGCTGTCAGGACTCAATGTAAGGAGCGACTCGCGAGGTAAGACGCACTCCTTAGCTGTTCCTAAAGCGCGCCCGTGCCCGCACTCGCCCTCACAAGCTTTTTCTCCTTTTCTGAATTCAGCCTCGCCACCCCTGAGTCTGAGACCTCACGAAACTTCCCAGCCCAGTGTTGGCCACGAGAAGCAGATCACAGAACAGCGCCTAGTTTTGTTTGTGTTTGCTTTTAACAGATGCCTATGGCTTATAACAGGATTCCCGGTGAAATGAGTCCATGGAAACGGTTGCCAGGGCCGGCAAATTGCTGCTCACAGGAGTCCCTCGACGCTTTGCTAACAATGCAGGGACTGGCCAGTGCAGGGTCAATGCAGCACCACTTCCGGTGTGTGTTTTGTGGGCACGCCTCACTTCAGTGAGGTTGCCTTTGACCCCGGAAGTCAATTTCTCTGGGTTCCTCCCTCTCCAAGATGGCAGCGTCAGAAGACGGCTTACAGCTGCCTCGCCTTCCGGAGCTGTTCGAAACCAGCAAACAGCTGCTGGAGGAAATAGAAGTAGCGAATGAACCGACCGGCTCCAGGGTAATCCAGGATAAAGTGTTCAAGGGACTGGACCTACTTGAGAAGGCTGCTGAAATGTTATCGCAACTGAATTTGTTCAGGTATGGGGGAAAGGGTAATAATGGCAGAAAGCAAAGGTGATGCTGGTTATCAAGGGTAGAGCCATTGTGCTTGGGTGGAGAAAGCCATTAAGACCCTTTTGTATCTACTTCTCGCTGCGATCTTGTGTACATTGTTTACATTTTCCACCTCACATCCGAGATGGTTGATTGACACGACTCTGCTCCCTAGTGTCTGCTGGCTGCATAGGCATTGGGTGTGAACGCAGCCACTTAGTTTCAAATTGGCTGCTGTTCCTTTGTTACACTCGCTCCCAGCCCTCCTCTTTCCGAGGAAGCAAGGGCCACAGTTTGAATGCTCAGCCAGGCTTCACAGCCTCCTTTTTGCTCTTTCCAGCCGAAACGAAGATTTAGAAGAAATTGCTTCCATCGACCTGAAGTACCTGATGGTGCCAGCGTTTCAAGGAGCCCTCACCATGAAACAAGTCAACCCGAGCAAGCGTCTAGATCATTTACAGCAGGCTCGAGAACATTTTATAAACTACTTGACTCAGTGCCATTATTATCATGTGGCAGAGTTTCAGCTTCCCAAAACCAAGAACAACTCAACTGAAAATAACACTGCTAGTCACTCCGTGGCCTATACTAACCTCGTTGCTATGGCATCTCAAAGAAAGGCTAAAATAGAGAGGTGGGTCAGTAGCTATCATTCGAGTGGTGCAGTGACAGTGCATTTGGGGGGAGATGCATGTGTTTTTGTGTGTGTAAAAGACAGAATTGGGGGGGTGCATGTGTTTTGTGTGCGTATGTCTTGGTTCTTACTGAGCATAAGCTCCGGGGAGAGCACTTTCCTGAGTTTTTCAAAAAGCCTCTGCCTTGTGGAGGTGATTGTATCTAACCGTTAGACCGCTGCTAGCTTGTGGTTGCAAATGGCAACAATGTATTTTAGCAAAGTGTCTTGCAACCTTTTCCGCAACACAGCATAATATACACATGCGGTGAATGTCTCTGAAAGGCACACATCTCAGAGGGGTTGTCCATTTATGTTCTATTTATTGAGTAGCGCTGTTCTAACAAGATTACTGAATTGGATGTGTAGCATTTTAAACGTACCATAGTTCTGGCACCATTTTTTTATGTGACCTTGAAAAAGTTGCTTATGCTCTTAATTATTTTTAAACAGTAACTATTTATGGAAGTTATTTTTTAAAATAATTGCACAGTGTAATTATTCACAGTGTCTTAGAATTATGCTAACCACTGGGGATACAAACTGTATGGGCATTTGTATGAGCATGAGTGGTCCTTGCCTGGGAGGAGTTCATACTATGGTGAGGAAAACGCATATAGGAACAGAATATCAGTTTAAATTGGTGTGATAGAGAGATACACAAGGTACTGTGAGGGCACATATCCAAAGGTGCGGGGAAGAGAAGGCCCCCTGGAAAGGGTAATTCCTGTCATGAGTTAAGGATAAATACTGTTGTACAGAGGAAACAGAGAGGAAGGCATTAGCCAGCAGAAATAATGGCATTAGTAAAACCACTGGGACATTAACCACTTACCAGTCCAATTATGTAAATAAAGGATGACCACAAATTGCATATTTTTTGTTAATTTTTATAAGATAACAGGAAATATAAAAAGACAATTTTATTACATTTATTCAATACAAGAACTGACTGGTTGAAAACACATCTGCCTGAGCAATACTCAGGATAGTCAGTACGTAAACAAATGCGCTGCCAAGGAAACTGTGGTGGAGTGGGACAATGTGGGAGAGGAGCAGCACTCAAACAGTTAAGTGATGATGGTACACAGAGAATGTGAAAGAGGAGGAAGGAATGATGCTGAAGAATGTAGGCTGGAAACCAAGGTGCGCTTAGAATGTGAGAAAGGCTTATTGCTAAGAGCTTGGGAATGTGTTTGAATCCCAGTTCCATCATTTAATTACTCTGTGATCTAGGGCAAGTTACTTGCCTTCCCCAGCTATAAAATTGAGGTAATAATAGCTCCTTCCTCAGAGAATACCTTATGAAGACTAAAAGAGGAATACCTATAAAGCATTTAGCGCAGTGTCTGATAGAATGACCACTCAAGGTCAGCCATGATTATATATTTGTGGCCAAGAGTATGGGTTACAGAGTCAGAAACCTGGGTTTGAATCCCAGCTTATTTATAAATCTTTGGATTTCGTATAAGTTATTTAGCCTATCTGATCCTCAGGTTTCCTCCTATGTGAAATCTAAGTAGTAATGGTACATATTTCTTAGGGTTAAGCATAAATGAGATAAACACTTAAAACTGTATAATATCTAGTATATAGGATTTTATAAATGTTAGCTTCTTTTTAGGTTGGTCACACTTTTTAGGTTGGTCTTTTAGGTTGGTTGGGCTTGCTTAGGTTGGTAACTGGGATCTAATGAACAATTCTGTTTCTTTTATAAAAGTAACATGGTCATGCTTGCATTTTAACTATCACACTAGGCCCAGTTAGGTCACAGGTGATGACAGTTCACTAGGAGGGTTGAATCTGCAGAAAACCTGATGAACTAATTGATTATGGGAGGTGAAGTAGAAAGAAACAGCAAGGAAGATGTCCAAGTTTCTGACTTAGGGGAATGGCTGTGGAATTCACTGAGATGGAGAATAGAGGAGGAAGAACAACTCAGGGGTTGGGGAAAATATACATTCACTGTTAGCACATGTTCAGTTGAAAATACCTGGAAGACATCCAACTAGAGGTATCTGATAGCATGAAGCTCAGAGGTGAAGTTTGGTCTAGAGAATTAAAAATTGGTTGATTTATTCAAATGTTTATTGAGATCTTCTTGTGTGCTGAGAACTGTTCTGGATATTAGAGAACCAGACAAAATCAGTGCCATCAAGGAGCTTTTATTCTAGTGGGGACAAACAATAAGCTACTAAATAATAAAGTAAATTCAGGAGGTAAGGGCTATGAAGAATAATAAAGTGTGATTTCAGGATAGTGACTGACAGTGAGTGTTGTTTGAGAATATAGGATAGACTGATACAAAGTAGAATTCAGTATTCTATCCTCGGTAAGAAATTGAGAGCAGCCCATCGGCATAACAGTGAATTTTGTATCCAAGTAACTATTCAAAAGTAACTGTAAACACCATAGAGATAACAGTGTTGTGGAGAAAGGTGAGGGAGTGTTCACGTATGATTGGATGAATGAGAAGATTTTACAATGTAACTACATGTAAGCTGAGTCTTAAAGATGGTTAAAAATAGAAATTACAGATTTTTCTAAATGTAAAAGTATGCAAAACAAAAATATTTTAAAAATCAAAAATAAGCATTAATCCTAGCATTCATAGATGTTATTGTTACCTTTCTGGTGTGTTTTCTTTCAAATATATAGTTATTTTAGCTAATAAATTTGGAATGATATGGTAAATACAGCTTTTTATCCTGATTTTTAACCTGATATTGTATTTCCCCATGTGTTTTGAAACCATAATACTTAATGGTTATGTAATATTTGAATCTATAGTTGTACCGTAATTATTTAAACTAATCTGTTGTCAAATATTAGGCTATTTTTTTGCTATCATGAGTAATACTATGAACAAACTTTTTTTGGTATGGGTATTGAACCCAGGACCTTAACTACTTCTGTCACTGTTCCCTTGGGGTAGATTTCTAGAAGGATCAGTGACTAGATGAACGGGTTTGACTGTTTTAAGGCTCTCAATACATCATAATAATGTGGCTTTCTACAATAACAAAAGTTTTGCAGCATATGGCACTATATTAGTCCTGGATGTTTATTTAGAAAGTTAAAAGATCCACTTAAGCAAACACAAGAAGATATCTTAGTTTCTTTGGCCTGCAAGCTTGATCACTGACCATGTTTTAAAGTATTTGACACATAGCAACACTATTTTTATGCTACTGATTCTCATATTCATATCACTAACCCAGACCCCTTGTAACCATCAGATCTGTACTTGCAGTACCCTTGAGTGTTTCACAGATCTGTCAAACTTAACATGCCATACAGTTAAACCCTTGACTCTTTTTTTCTTGGTGCTGGGAATTGAACCCAGTGCTTCATACACACTAGGTGAGTGCTCTACCATTGAGCTAAACCCCAGCCCAAACCCTTGACTTTTTGAACCCAAGTGAGCCCCTATGCCGAGGTTTTTACTATCTCAGTGAGTTCACCACAGCTTTCCCAGATTTGTAAGCAAGGAACCTAAGTGTTAGCGTCAACTCCCTTTTTCCAGATTTCTTCATCCAGTGTATTCTGTCCACACAAGGTATCTTCTGTCCTTCTATCACTCTGCGTCTCCACTAGCATATCTTATTCTAGGCCATCAGAATCTCCCTCTTGAGATAGCCAAACCACTGACTATAGTGCCCTCCATGGTCTGGTGCTTATCTCTCCAATCTCATTGTGTCATTCTCCCCTTATTTATTAGATCTAGCCACAGTGGTTGCCTTTCAGTTCTTTAGACAGACGTATCTCTTTCCTTGTGTAGAATCTTTATACATGTTCTTTTTGCATGGAATGCTGTTCATATAGCAAATTCATTTTTTAGGTCTCATTTTAACTGTGGAGAGGACTTTCTTTTTGCACCATGTTTGTTTCTTTCATGGCACTTATCTCATGTGCAGTTATTTCATGTGTCTGTTCCTGGGTTTTGTCTCCTGTACTAGAATGTGTACTCCTTGAAAGCAGAAGCCATTTCCCTTTTCTTCAGTGTAGTATGCCTAGCACAGGGCCTGGCCTGTAGGAGGTGCTCAAGCATTATTTACTGTTGACAAACAGGGAAAAACAACACAAACAAAAGCCCAAAGCCAGGTAGATTGGGGTATGTATAGGGAATGGATAATAGTTTAGTTTGGCAAAAACTGAGTAATATAGGCAGAGGTCTGCATTAGGAGGTGATGCGTATAAAATATTGAAAGGGAAAAGATACAGAAAGGTAAGTTAACAGGTACTCCCAACTAGGATCAAGTGATAAAAATGAACTTAGAGCTATCAGAGACTATATTGTAAGAAGCAGTTAGAAAACATTATTAGGAGCTGTAGGTGTAGCTCAGTGGTAGAGTGTTTACCTAGTGTGCACAAGGCCTGGGTTTGATCGCTAGCACCACACAAACACACACACACGCACACACACACACACACACACACATACTCTATTTAAATCCTTACTTACTTTCTGTAAGCCCCCCCAACTCATGACTTTAGGTGCAGCGACCATTGTAAATGAAATACCTAAATGGTATGTCTTTTCTCTCTCAAACCTGTTTATTCACATATATCCTCTAATTCCCATGTTTGAAGAGTGAATGTGAGTTTGATTGATTAACACCATCTCCATTCTTCTGACAGAAATGAAGTAGAAGCTGGGTAAGTAATGAGTCTAGTTTGAGATCTACAGAATTTCAGTCCTAAAGTGACAATTGGATAGCCATTTCCATAGACATGTAGAAATACACAACTAAAACTTAATAGACTTTTACGACTGATGCAAAAAAACATTTAGGACCCCCCCTGCTTTGGTGAATATGGATGAATTTGCCAAGGTAAACTGCATAAAAGAAAAAACAGCTAAGGACCAAACCTTGGGCCAAGCTGAAGGAGGAAAGAAGGGAAAGAGCTAGGGTATATATAGCTCAGTGGCACGGTGCCTGCCTGACAAGCAGGGACCTGAGTTTGATTCCCAGTACCAAAAAAAAAGGAAAGAGCAGAGGTAAGAGACTCACCAAGATACAAATAGAAGGATTTACAGAAGCATGGAGAGAGCAGATGTTGAGTCCTTTGAAGCTTCTCCCTAGGGATCTTTCCTCCATACTATAGCATTTAGTTCATGTTAATCACGGTGTAACTGTGTCTAGATTTGCAACTCCTCAAGGTCAGAGACCTTTACTAATTGTGTCTTAGTGTCTTAATTGTATCCCTTGGTGTCCAGCCCAGTAATTATATCAGGGTAAGAACTTGGAGGTGTTTTGGGAGGGCCGGATAAAGTGGTAATCTGAAAGATGGAGGCAATATGTATAATAGAAAAAGATCATTTGGAATCACAGGCATGAGATAACGAATTTCTGTCAGTTATTAGATCAGGCATCTCCTAGCCCCTTGTAGCCTCAATTTTCTTTATGCCAATTTTTGTATTGCTGCTTGCAAAGCATTTTCATGTGAAATTTTCCATTTGATTCTCTTAACCCCATGAAGTAGACCTTCATTTTTAAAGATGCAGAAATGGACTTTGAGAATTGACTTACGTGAAATTATAGCTAGTAGGATTTAAACTTAGGTCTTCAATTTCCCAGTTCTCATACTGTACCCTCTAAAGCATAGAAAAAGAAGAGTTCTCATTTGAAAAGATAAAAAAAAAATGGGTTGAGGAAAGGTAAGGTGTTTCTAAGGTGAAAAGGCACCAGTTGAGAGAAAAGGTGTAACTGCTAATGACAGGCAGGTGAGAATGCAGCCTGGAAGAATGTGAGTGGGAGCCTAGATCGAAAGGAAAAGTGGAGTAACAAAGACAGCTCCTTTAAAGACAAGAGTAAAGAAGGAAGGGTAAGCAGGGCTCTGTGGCACATACTTGAATTCTAGCTGCGTGGGAGACTGGCAGTATGGAGCTCTGTAAAAAAATGAACAAAAGTCAAACTTTGATCATAGGGGTTTGTAGTTAACCCATTTGACACAAATTTATAACTCCTTACCACTCTTCGTCAGCTTGGAAACAGAACAAGGGAATGGTGAAAGTTTCCCAGAGTCAGGAGGATCATAGCGGTAGGAGATTGTAAGTTTCTATATAATGTCCTACCATGGGGAATCTAGGATATTGACAAAAGTCTAGGATAGTGATTGTCAGCCTGTGCCTTGGAGGCCTAAGATTTCTCCTTGGGTAGTGTTGGTAACTTTCCTTTGATTTCACCAAGGCAGAGTTTATCTTACTAGCTTTCAATATGAGTTCTCATTTGAAGAAAGGCTTCTTTTGCCAAGATAAAAATATTTTAAAAACATACCTAAAAGAACAGGTACTGAGGAGTCAGAAGTCCAAAAGATAAAAGAGCAAAGTCATAGAAGCAAGAAAGTAGAAAAGAAGGGAGAGAGCAGAGTGTATGAGCCATGCACAAGGAGTGTGGAAAAGGAAGCAAAAGCACCTTACAGGATCACTAGCTAATCCAGAATTTACCCTGGGTTGTATATATTCCTGTTGTTTGTCCTGTGATGTAGGTCCGTCCAGGAAAGGGTAGGGGATAGCAGTAGAACTGATTGAACATCCAGAAGTAATATCCCTAGTAGCATTCATGAGCTAGGAACTGACCTTTGTAGTGTTTCACTCAGGAGGCTCCCATGGTGATGATATGACAGTTGTTTGTAACAGAAAATGCCCACTCCTTGAGTAAAAGGAACAGAAGAGCCTAAAATACTGTGTTTCTTTTTTGTTGTTGTTGTTTTTGAGACAGGGTCTCGCTATGCAGTTCAGGCTGACCTTGAGCTCACTTTGTAGCCCAGGATGGCCTTGAACTTGCAATGATCCTCCTGCCTCAGCCTCCCGAGTGCTGGGATTACAGGTGTGCGCCACCACGCCCAGCTCAATAAAGTGTTTCTAGAGCACTGGTTCTTGACTTTTCATGAATCATGAACTCATGATAATTTCATAAGACCTCTCTCTAGAAAAAGAGAAAGAAAATATACATGTAGAGTCTATAAAATTTTAAGAGGTTCAAACACACCACCCCCCCATTCATTCCATGGACTTTAGGCTAAGACTTCCAATTTGGGTAAGTATCTGCAGAGGAGTTTCTGGTTCTGGAGGTCTGGAGTGGGGTTCCAGGCACACAGTTCAAGATACTTCTTTTGGAAATCTTGGCATTTTTTTCCTTGACTCATCTCTATCTCAAGCCCTCACATCCAGTAAGTAAATTTGACCTGTTTTACATTTTAAATAAACCTACATTTCACTGCTTCCAACACTACCTTCCTATTTCAAGTCATTGTCTCACCTTGTTCGTGGCATTATCCTCTTAATTGCTTTCCTGGCTTGTACCCTTGTCTCCCAGGTCCTACTCCATACAACAAAGTGGCATTTTTTTAAAAAAAAATCTTAATGTTCTGTGCATGTCCTGTATTCTATTCAGAAACCTCTAGTGGCTTTTGCATGTCACTCACAGTACCTCCTGGTATTTGGTATTTGGGTATCGTAACCTACAAAGTTTACGTGTTATGGTCCTGGCTACCTTTCTGACCTCATTTCTTATTAGTCCTCACTCCATTCCACCCACACTGGCCTTCTGTCCCCAGTGTGCCAGGCCAGGTACTGTCCCTCCCCAGGGCCTTTGTATTTTTCTCTTAGAACAGTCTTCCACTTATTGGTATGGCTTGTTTCCTTGTTTTCTTGAAGCCTTTACTCATACCACTTCTTGAGAGAGGTCTTTCCTGACTACCTTGTATATAATAGCACTCCTGTTTTTGCATTGTCACTCTGTCCACTTGACCATGCTTTTTACTGCTTCATAGTACTTATCACCATCTGACTCATCTGTTTCTTTTATCTTCTCTTGCTAGAATGAAAGCTTCATGAAAGCAAGGATGTTCTTTTATAAACTGTTGTTTCCAGTGCTAACAGTACTTGTCACACAATAGGTACTCTGGAGGTATTGATAGATGATGATAGAGTACATCCTGAAAAAGGCAGCCAAGGTGGTTACGAGTCATTAAATAAAGATGAGTCACAAGAACTTGGAATGTTTTGCTCAGAAGAAGAAAAGAAATGACCATTTTTTAGGCTGTTTCACAAGGAATTCCTGTATCAGTGGCAGATAAAATGAGCCCTAAGAGTCTATAATTCTCTGAATATGTAACTCAAATAGAACACTGTAAGGGGAAGCACTGAGTGATACTAAACACTCAGCCAAATAAAAGTTGATAGAATCAAGTGGCTAAGATATTCTCATCCTTTGATTGCAGGACTTGTTGAGATCAGGTCACATCTATATTTTTCTGGCTTCAGAATGTTATATCTCAGTCGTTCCTGGCCCTTCCTTGACTTTGTAGTCTGGTAAACTGTCTTGTAACAAACTCTGGGTTATAAAATAAGTATTCCTGCCAATGTGGAAATCTACATGCTGGACATTTGAAAAGGTAAAATATTACTGTGGTTTTCTTTTGAAATAATTTCTCTTTTATTTTTAAGCTCATGGATAATGCTTTTCTGTGAAACAGATACAAGCGGAAGAAAGAGGTGGAGCATAGGTTGTCTGCCCTGAAATCTGCTGTAGAAAATGGTCAAGCAGATGATGAGCAAGTTCGTGAATATTACCTCCTTCACCTTCAGAGGTGGATTGGAATCAGCTTAGAAGAGATTGAGAGCATTGACCAGGAAATGAAGATCCTGATAGAAAAAGACTCTTCAAAAGAGGTAAGCCTGGTCACTGTCCATGTAAGCAAAGCTACTGTCAGAGATTTGAATATTCTTTGGGATAGAATCAAATTAAAATCTTTGTAAGTTTTCATACGATCGTTGTTCATATTAGCATGAGTAGAGAAAGACTGATGGTTTACTAAAGTTTCTTTTTCTTTAGGTTATAGTATTTCCAGGGCTTTCTAATCTGTAACACACTTTTAGTTATTTTTAATTTTGTGACATAGCATGGGAGACAGGGTTTCCTGAAATAAAAAGTGGTTTTGGCTATGGAAAGTTGTAGCTGTTGGAGGAAGGTATAAGGAGGGAGAAAGGCCTTAAAAGTGTGCTTAACTGTAATAGAAAGGGCTAGGAATGGATAAGGAAAACAAAATTGGAGAAGAGAAAGAAAAGGATGAAGCAAAAGACCAGGGAATGTATTTAGGTTGGGGGAGAAATTGGAACTTAACCTTATACAAAAATGAGCTCATACTTTTAAATCTCCCAAGTAGGAGGCTAGTACTAGTATAGTGACATTTCTATGCACAGAATGTTGGTAAAGAAAACGTGGTGTAACACAGCTTTGACTATACTTGAAAATAACCGTCTTTTGGAGCTGCTGCTTCAAAAAAGCAGGCTCAGCTTCCACTTGCTCTTTGGTAGAGGATACATTGTGAACTAGGTTGAATTTATCAATGGGTCACGGGCATTTATTTAAGTCCTCAGAGACTCTTCCAAATTTAATTTGTACCAACTAGCCCCTGAGCTCTTGCCTCAAGATAACGTCAACCTAATTCTTTGAGTTAAAGGATAAAAGAATGAACAATTAGTATTCTAAAGTCGTGTAAGGGCCCTTATCTAGATGAGTGGTTTTTAAATATTTTGAAGCTGGGCTCTTCTGAGTCCTGCCATGTCCCCTTCTTTGGTGATTTTTTTTAAAAATGCTCTTTCATGTGGTATTGGAATTGGCTCTGGAGATGTTGTAGTTGGAACCAAGTGAGTACCTTTTGTTTAGCCATGCTTTGTTTCAGTCTGCCCCTGGTATGCTCAGGTTCCATGAAATCTTTTTATTACCTTCATACAAAAACTGCTAACCTATCTCACCCTTTGGTTTAGGAGCATCCATTTTTAAAACATGTAAGAGTTCTTGACAATTAATAGTGTAAGTACATGGAAAGGGGTTGTAGAAAGGTCTTAATAATTCAGCTTTTCTATTGAAAGCCAGGCTGAGGAAAAGGGCATCAAATTCAGCTCAAGGCATTTAGATGGATCACAGAAGGGGACTTTAGAGTCTCCCTCTCCCTCTTTGGAGGGGGTATTTTAAAGCCAAGTAATTTTTTCCTTATAAAAAAGATCCCTGGGAGAATTTTTCCTTTCTCTCTTTGTAGCAAGGTATTCAAGCTCTCTCAGGGGAGTTATATGTTAAAGAGTAATAAGTAGAGAACAGGTGAATCTTGAGCTTTTACATCACTAAAATTCTCTTTTTTCCCCCCTTAAATCAGAACAGAGATTTATTATTTATAGTTTCTAGAGGCTGGGAAGTCCAAGGCCACATCTGATACAAACTTCCTTTTGCAGCGTCTCATGGTAGAAGAAAAGAAGGCAGGAGAGCACATGTGTGCATATATGCACACATAAGAGGCGTGGCGGGACCCAACCCATCCCATGATAACTAACCTATTTAGCAGCAGACTACTGAAGAGCAAGAACGGGCATCATAGCATGGATAAAATGGCAAATGCACCTCTGAAATTAATTTTTTTCTCAGGCATCAACTTCTCACTCATCTCTTCAGGACAGACCTCCAATGAAATCCTTCATACTCACTCGGGACACGACCCAAGCCAAGTAGGTAGTGCTAGAAAGTGGTTTGCCTTTGCAGTTTCTGTTTTTGTGATTTTATGGCAATGCATAAAGAGCGGGCATTGTGGAAAAGTTATGGCTTAACCTGTAGAGGCTGTTCTGTCATTAAAATGGTATTAACTGTCCTAGCTGGGCATGGTAGCTGATGCCTGTAATGCCACCACTTAGCAGACTGAAGCAGAAGAATTGCTGTTGAGTTCAAGGCCAGCCTGGGCTACATAGTCAAGACCAACTTGAACTATGTAGTGAGACTTTGTCTCAAAACAAACCAAAAAACACAGTGCTTTTTAACTGTCCTGATAACATTATCCAAGTCTGTCTTTTTCAGACATTTGCATAAGGAATCTAATAAAACAGGAAGATAAATAATCCAATGGTATACTTAAAAACTTTCTTCATTATTGCCATTCTTGTTGCCTTTAGCTGCAGCTCTCAGAAGGACATTCTTGCTTATCTGTTATTTAATTTTAAGGTATTGATGCTGTTCCTTAAGGTGGCAAGAGAGTCTCCTCTGCACCTTTCAGAGCAGTTAACTACAAATTCCATTTCACAGTGTCGTCACTGCTTTGTGGGGCATTAGTTTGGGGCATTAGATTATCTTCTCATGAAAAGTCTGACTTTAATGTCCCTTTCTGGGTGCTTTTTGCACATCTCTATAGGAGGGAAACAAAGCTGAAACAGGCACAGGCCTTGTCATTTGAAGTGAAGAGACTTTTTAATGCTGCTATTTTTGTTTAGTTTTCTGAAAACAATGTGATTTTTACAGAGTATTTGGAGCTGGTTATCCAAGTCTGGCAACTATGACAGTGAGTGACTGGTATGAGCAGCATCGGAAATATGGAGCATTACCAGACCAGGGAATAACCAAGGCAACATCAGGTATGAAGGGGTAGGAAGAAAGTACTTGTGCTATTGGCTCCTTACTCCCTCAAAGTTAAACTCTGATCAAGTATTGTCACCCTTTAGGAACAGAAGTAGTCTGGGCAAAGATTCTGAGTAATTGAAAGATTCTAGGCCAAAAAAGAAGGAAGAAAGAAAGAAAGAAGGAAAGAAAAAGAAAGAAAAGAAAAGAAAGAAAAGATTCACCAGGTATGCTGGCACATGTCTGAAATACCAGCTACTTGTGAGGCTAAGACCGAAGGATTCCTGGACGACTTGGCAAGGCCCTGTCTCAAAATAAAATTTAAAAAGGGCTGGGGATGTGACTCACTGGTAGAGTGCGCATTTGATTCCCCAGTACTACTGATCCCCAGTACTAAGAAAAAAAGGTTTGTTTTTGTTTTTTAATAGCATAGGTTTGGAATCTCTCCAGATATCCTGACATTAAAAACAACAGCCAGATAGGAAAATCCATGGACAGTAGTTCTATTTCTGATAATGGTGGAGCAAGTTGTATCAGGCCAACACCTCATATGGATAACAATTACAAACTGAAATTACAATTATGATAAAATAAAAACAACTACTTTAAGACACTGGGGTGACTAAAAGTAGGGTAAAGTGGAAGGAAGTCAGCACTTAGGAGAGAAGGATACTTGAACAGGGACTTTGACTTCTTATATTGTTGATGTCCAACTTGGTGATGAGATCATTGTAGGAACTCAGAAGCGGAAAGGTGAGGAGAGGGTGGCCATCTGAAAGATGAAAGCAATATAATAGGGCAGAAAAAGCAAGGACAGAACTGGGGTGATGTGTCTGCTTCCTGCCACTTAACAAATGGCACATGATCCGGTCTCTCTGAACCTCAGTTTTTGTTTCTTTTGGTTTTTTTTTCCTTTTCTGGCCCTCTTCAAAGCAGACATTCTCATCCCCATTTCAAAGTGAGAACATGGTCTCTGAAAACTGATTTACCATACCATAGTTAGTAAGTGATTGGGCTAGGATTTAAATTTAGGCCTTCAAAAGCCCAGTTCCAATGCTACTTCCACTTTAGCATAAAAAAGAGAACAGTAGCCATTTGGAAGAGTTTTCTATATATTTTTTATTACTGCTTTTCACCAGTGGGCAGGCTGCAGTCTCTATGATGCAGACTAGCTGAAATGTGGATAGGAACTTGTGGTCTTATTGGTTGAGGAATGAGAAAACTGAGTTCACGGTGACTGTAGCAGCTGAAAAGTAAAGAATGATACCCTAGAGAACAAAATACTAGAGGAAGAGCCCTACTTCTGTATATAAACCTTGTCAAAATCTCTGACTGATTCCTAAACTCTGTTTACAGAATGGACTCTCCAAGTACCTTAGCTAAGACTAAAATAACTTAATGGGTGAGATTGGGCGCTTTCTGGGTGGTATGGCCGCAGAGTAAAATAACTCAATAGAAAACTCAGCTATTTCCCCATACAAGACAGAACTTGACATTTGGTTCTAGACAAGTTAATTACCTTCAAGAATGAAAGATCTGTGCTCTAGAAGGAGGAGTGAAAGCAATGCAGTACTCCTCAACTTAAGATAGGTTCACATCCTCGATAAACCCATCAAAAGTAAAAAAGTTGTAAGTTGAAAATGCATTTAATACACTTACCAATCATCATAGCTTAGTGATACAGCAGTCTGTGGAGTACGGATTGTTTCCTTGTGATCTCATCACTGACTGGTTGCCATGGTTTGCACCTGCCACCCAACAACAGCAGAATCGTACTACATATTGCTAGCATGAGAAAGGATCAGAATTTAAAATTCTTCCACTGAATATGTATCACTTGTATCATTGTACAGTCAAAAAATAATCTGAGCCATCATAAGTCAGGGACTACCTGTGTATTATTCATAATGTGTAGAATTCGGTGTTAAGTTACTAGACATGAAAAAAAAAGCCAGAAAATGTGACTCATATTTAAGAAGAAAGGCAATCAATGTGTACCAACCCCGAGATAATTCATGTGTTGGAATTAGCAGATAAGGACTTTATGTAGCTATTATTTCTTGCCCTTAAGAACAGAGTAGAAAAATGCTTGTAATGCATGAAAAGATGAAGAAATCTCAGGGGAGAATCTGTACCCCAAATATTGTGGAACTGGAAGATAAAATCAGCTATCTAAGGTTCTACATTAATAAGTTGAGAGAAAAGAAAACAAAGTAAGTCCAACGTAAATAAAGGAAACAAGAAAGAGGGGAAGTCTAGAGGTAGTGATAGTGCCATACTCCGTGGAAATTGAACATGTGTACACCTCCGTGATGTGACTGTTTCACTCCTCAGTGTATATCTAAGCTGAGTGAGACCATAATTGTTCATAGCAGCATTATTTGCAGGAGCCCACAGTAGACACTACTCAAATGCCCATAAATACTAAAATGGAGAAGTAATTTTTTGTATATTCATACAATGGACTGTTGTGTGGCAGTAAAGTTAAATTATAGTTCTTATAGCTGAATCTTACAAGCCTAATTATGAGTTAAAAAGCCAGATTGCATTCCATTCATATAAAGTTTAAAAACTTTATGTGACTTACATGATTCTATTCATACGGAATTCAAAAGCAGGGTGAAACTTCTAGGTGCTGCTCAATGGAATTGGACCTGAGGGGGCTTCTGAGGAGTAAGTATCTTAATCTGTTTTGTATCTTAATCTGGATACTGATTAATGGACATTTTCAATACATGTGAAAATTTGTTAAATTAGACTTGTATTTATGTACTTTTCTACATGAAATACTTCAAAAATGCTAAAAACAAAAACCTCATAGATCATAATTATGATGAAAATGGCTCACGGTCTATCCCCATGATCCACGAAATTAAAGCAAGTAAGGGCAAATCACCCTTAGCCACAGTATGAACAGGTTATTGGTATCCGTAGGAAACTGTCTGAAAGACCTCACCAAATTCCAAAATAGTATATTTACTAAAAAGTGTGGCAGTCCAATTTAAACACTTGAAGCTCAGAGGAGTTCCATCTTCTAGTAAAAGCTAAATGAGTGAGTATAGGGGATCAGTGGTCTGAAAGTCTGAAAGGGATGGAGCAGTTTAATCTTGAATAAACTCTGGAAATTCATCCACCAGCTCTCCTTGCAGGACAAGGTACCACACTATAGAGAAATTTCTGAGAATAGAATTGAAATTAAGGAGGTCAGAAACAATACAGAAGAAGGAAAGAGAAGACCCATGTAAAAGTAGGAGAGAGAACCACACTGGGAACTTCAAGCAAGTCACCCTGTTTCTTTAACCTATATAAAAACAGCAGAAATGAGGCTACTGTAAAGTTTGAAAAGCCTCCCTGAACTACGTGTTTCTAAGAGGTCAGGAGAACATTTTACATTCTCTTATATGAGAAACCCAAATTATGAATAAAGAGCAAAACAAAAGGCAGATAATAGGAAGCAGGGAGATAGATCTTTCTCAAATGGGAAAGGGATCAAGAGATGGAGGGAGGGGGAGGGAGAGACGGAAAAGCGGATGTAAAGGGAATTTAGAGTGTAATGTACGTGTACCACATCTACACAAGGAGTGTGCATTAATAAAAAAATTTTTAAATGAACAAATTGCAGTGATGATTGCACAACTCTGACTATACCAAAACCCACTGAACCCACTTTTAGTGTATGAATTTTATGGTATGTGAAATATGTCTCAGTGCTTTTTAAAAAAATGAACAGAGAATTATCAAGATTAAATCCCACACAAAATTATTTTAAGGGGGGAAAGATGATTGAAAACGCTCCAGAAAGATATGCTCAAAAAAAAAAAAAACAGAACAAATCCTCTTAATCTGAATATAATATCTTAAAATGAGTTAGAAGGTATCCTGAAAATAACAGAACATGGAAGGATCATATAAAGTAGGTTAGGAAAACTTTAAAATGTGGTAACAATGTCTGGAAAAGCATCATTTCAGAAAGGAAAGCTCAAGTAGAAGGACACAAGAATAACTAAACCCAAAAAGTGTCCTAGTGAGGTAAAAATGGAATATTTTTTTAAAACTAAGGAAACAAAGAGGATTTGAGATAAAATGACATATTAAAGACAGCAAAGAAGATCTGGCATATGAATAGTGGGAGTATTTGAAGAAAACCCAGGCAAGGAAAAAAATGTAAGTGCTAAAAACTAACATTAAGGAAACTTTCCTGGAAGTAAAAAAAAAAAAAAGAAAAAAATTGATACTAGAAAGCACACAGTATACCTGAGAATTCTGACCCAAAATGACCAAAAGACACACTCTAATAAAATTACTAGACTTAAAAGAAAAAATACCATGGACATCTCAACAAAAACATCAGGTGATTTACTTATAAAGAAAAGAAACTTAGATCACCTTTAAATTTTTTGATACTCATACTTTATGCCACAAAAACATATAGTAAATATTTTATGTATCCTAAGGGTTAGAGAACAAAAAACCTTATAGTACTACATATGAACTCATGAAAAATTATGCTTAAAAGTAAAAGCACACACCATCACTCTATCCACCAAAGAGGCTTAGAAACTGGGCATGGTACTGTAATCCTAGCATGCAAGAGGAACACCATGAGTTTGAGGCCAGCCTGAATTATAGAATGAAACCCTGTCTCAAAAAACAACAAAAGCAAAGGCTTAGAAACAAAGGCTAGCCCAATAGCAATGAATATACCTAGTAACCTAGACTGTGGTATGGAGATGCCATTCCCATTCTAAGAAAGAATCAGGATATCTTAGATAGCTAATTCCAGGTATGGGACAGGATGTGTCTGAGATGAGTTTGGAGCAGTTAGGCATGAAAAATTGGGAAGAAGCATTCAAAGACTACTAAGGTTATATCAAGAGGACTCAATAGCCTATTTGATGTTTCCATTGGCCAGTTGGGCTTAAAAAAGGATATTTGGGGGCTAGGGATATAGCTCAGTGGTAAAAAGTACCTACTTGTCAAACAAAGCCCTTGGTTCATTCTGAGTGGCACACACAACAAAAACAGTTGATGCAGCAGTGAGCACATTTAGTGGTCAAATCTTGATTTATTTTAAAATTTTCACTTTTAAAACTTTCACTGACAAAAATTATATGTTTATGGAGTATTGTGATGTTTCACTACTGTATATATAGTATGATGTTCAAATCAGGATAAGTATATATGTAAGATGAGCTAGTAAATAAAGAAGAGCTCAAAAAATTGAGGTGCTAAAGGAACACAAGAACTGAAATAAGTCTAATCAGCCCAAGTTGAAAGAATTTGAGCAGGAAAATAACAGTTTGGGTTATAATAGGGAATACAATAATTACCCATGAGTCCATAGTGGTGAAAACAGATGATTGAATAAATTAATGAATGAGGGAAAAGAAACAGATCTCCTTATAATCTCAGATCAAACCTGAGATAAACCATGGTTTAGGTAGATATTCCTGCTTCAAGGAGATGGAACATAACTCCTCACTGCTGAAGTCTAGGCTACGTTTCGGGACTTACTTCCAGTGACAGTGTGGAAAAGGAAGACAGGATGAGTAACTTTACATTTGGGAAAGCTGCAAATGCTATCTTGGTCAGATGATCAAAGTTATCATCAGTGATAAACCAGGCTGACAGCATAATGTGTACCCTTGATGTGATGTGACAAGAAGAGCACTGCACCCCTGTGGTCTCTTTCTCCAGTACCCATAGCCCTAGTGTAATTATGAGCAAAACAGGCAATCCCAAATTGAGCATGTCCTACAAAATATCTGATTAACACTCCTCAAACTTTCCAGGTCATCAAAAACAAACAAGTACAGTCTGAGAAACAGTCCTAACCTAGAGGAGACTAAGGAAACAGGTAACTAAGTATAATATGGTGTCCTGGATAGGATCCTGAAGCTGAAAAGGGACATCAAGTAAAAATTAACAAAATCTGACTGAAATATGAATTTTAGTTGTCAATATTCTATCAGTATTGGGTCATTAGTTGTAATACATAAACTATAGTAATGTGTTAACAGTAGGGGAACTGAGTGCACTATCAACTCAATTTTTCCATAAATTTAAAATTTCTGTTAAAGTTTTTAATGTATTTTTAAAAAGCATTGTAGTTGGTTGAAACCTATCAAACATGTTTAAGCCCATGTCTTAGTTACTTCTCGTTGCTGAGTCAAAATACCCAACACCCAAAATTAAGGAAGGAAAGGTTCATTTAGCTCACCGTTTGTGGAGGTTTCAGTCTGTACTCAGCTGGCTGCAAGGTAGGGTGGCATGGCACAGGGACAACAGTTCAATGCGACACAGGACAGAAAAGCAACAAGAGCAAGTGGGGAGGCAAGACGCTTTTCCTCCCTTATATTGTAAGCCAGCCACCCACCGTGGGGTGGGTTTAGCACTTACATCATCTCCTTGCCCTGCTCTTGCACAGGCTCAGGATACTTAGAAAGTGAGGACCCTGACGCCCCTGCTGAGTCACTTAGTTAAACTTCTAAACTTCTTGAGTTGACACAGTGAACAACATCTTACAGCCTTAAGGGCAAGTCCTCTACACCCTAGGATGTAGAACTGCTGAGTTCCTTAGTTAAACTTCTAAACTTCTCAATTTGACACAATGTATCAACCATTAGAATCCACCATTTGTTAGGCAGGCAGACACATTTGTTTACACTGGTTCCAGATATAAAGATTTGCTTATTCTTACCATTTCACAATTTGAACATTATAACACAGGTTTCAGAGCCCTTAAGAACGAATATTAAGCCTGTCAACATTATATTACATTAGAATCATAACATTCCACCCCTGGCCCCGCACTTGTGCACATCCCTTTATGCAAAAGGTATTTAGGTTGCCGGGGATATAGCTCAGCGGCACAGGGCCTGCCTGGGAAACATGAGATTGTGAGTTCAATTCCCAGTACCAAAAAGTGGTGGTGGGGCGGTACTGAGGATATAGCTCAGCAGCACAAGCACTTGCCTGGCAAGGGCAAGGTCTTGAGTTTGATTCCCAGTACCAAAAAAAAAAAAGGCATTTAGTCCATCTGCAAGAATTGCCAAAGTCCTAACAGTTTCAGCATTGCTGAAAAGTCCAAGTAACAAGTCTCCTCCCAGATGTAAGGCAAACTCTTAGTTGCAAGCCCCTGTACAAAGGAAAAGTTAGATACTCCCAACATTCAATGGCACAAAATAAACGTTTTCATTCCAAAAGTTACAAACTGGAACACAAAGGATTGGGACCAAAACAAGTCCAGAATCCAGCAGGACAAACATTAAGTACTGTAGTTCCATGTCCAGCATCTGAAGCAATCTGTGGCAAATTGTGAGCTCCAAAGGGCTTGAGTGATTCAACCCCTATGGCCCATCTGGTGTTTACAGCTCCCACACTGTCTCTCTTAAGCCTGCTTTGCTCCCTCCTTGCAATGTTCCTTAGATGATCCATGTTTCTGGCTTTTCCAAACTTCTGGGGTCTGTACTGCACCTTCAGCTTCACACTAACAGCTTCACACATTGCCCCCTCAGCAGCACAATGCCTGGCCTCCCAGGCCTTCTGAAGTCGGGGTGGAAGCCTTCTTAACCTCACAACTCTTACGTTCTGCGTGCGCCTAAACCAGCACCACATGGATTGTGCCAAGGTCTGCTGCCAGCTGGAGTAGCCAAGTTTTCCTCTCTCTTGGCTGTAGGGGTCAAGTACCTGGATCGGTGAGCATTCTGAATCCAAATCTGAAGAACAAATTTTCTATACTGCCACCATTCTGGAACATGGGTGCTGCCTCTGCCATTCTGGAACATGGTGCTCTACGGCTTTCTCCTCAAAGCAAAGTCTTTCACTTTCGCAGTTTTGAGACCACAAAGCATAGAGACTTGCTGCTACTTGTGATGCCCTCAGGTCATCTTTTATATTCTCATATTCCTTCACAGCAATCAAGATCTGCTCAGCTCTACCTTTGCAGTCCGCAGCTTTACTGGAGCTTCCTTTTTCATCACACTCAGAGCATTTTAAATCGTCCTTCTGGGCTCTTTGCTCTTGATTCTCAACATACATCCAGCTCAAAACCCCCAGCAGCAGCCATACCATGGCCTCAACATTCACCTGCCTTGAAATTTCTTCTGCCAGATTAATTAGTCCACCGCCCTTAATCTCAGACTCAGGCAAAGTCTCTGGACACAAGCAAAATGCAGACAAACTTCTGCGAAGCCACATCGTCTGGAGTCCAACAGCCAATGCATTTCTTCCCAGTGGAAACCTCTCAAGCCTGGTCTTTACCAGCAGGATTTCTGTCAGCCTTCTGGTCTTCTGACCAGAATCTCCCCTATGGAACAGCCTAAGACGTTTCAACTCTACTCTTTCAGACGACTTCTCCAAACCTTTCCAATCTCTAAGCCCATAATTATATTTTAAAACAAAAGTAAATTGGTATGATAAGGAACCTATTTACTTTCTTGAAAGTGGGAAATGATAGGAAAGAATTAAGTATTCATCTTTCCTACGGGCTGATTAAATAGTAATAGATGAGGGGAAGCCCCTCTTTATAAAAGTATTCCAGGTAATAATAAATAAGTAATTGGAGTTAAGAATATCACTTTTTTGAAAACCCCAATAAATGAATGGTAAGAGGGATTGAGCATAAATAACTGCAAACATCACTATGTTAATCAGCTTCCGTTGGTAGGGCAGGATACCTGAAATAATCAATTTAAAAGAAAAAAATTTAGTGGGGTCATGACTTCAAAGGTTTCAGTCCGTGGTTCGCTGGCTTCTTTGCTTTTCATCCTGTGGTAAGGGGAGCATGTAGCAAAGCAAAGCTCAGCACCTCATGATGGCTGGGAAGCAAAGAGAGAAGGGGCTGGGGTCCCACTGTCTGGTACACACACATCCCCAAAACCTTAAGACCTCCCATCAGGCCCCACATCCTAAAGGTTTCACCAGCTTCTTCAGTAGAAAAACCGGTAAGGAAAGAAAGGAATGGAAGGGAAACCTGATTGTTAAAAAAGATTTCAAAACTTTTAAATAGACAAGACTAACCTCAGAAAAACTGTGCTAAGTGAAGTCAGATACAAATGACTACATTCTGTTTATATGAAATGTCCAACATGAGCAAATCTATCGAGCCAGAAAGTAGATTAGCAATTCCCTGGGCTGGAGGGAGGGAGAGAATGGAAATAAACTGTAAATGGACACAAGGGATCTTTTGGAGGTGGTAGAATTTTTTAATTGGATTGTAGTGATAGTTGCACAACTCTACTAAAATCATTGAGTGAAAAATGAACATAATACAAATGGGCAACCATCTGAGGATGCACACTTGTGCAGTAAAGCTATAATAAACCCTAGGAAGTTATTACTAGGAAAAGCAGTATAGTGATTACTTTTGCAAGGAGAGGGGGCTTATGAATCACATTATTCACATGGAGAGACTTGGGAAGGCTGCAGAACTATTTCTTGACTCAAGTTGAGACTCAAGACCCCCTTATAAAAATTTATTTCTTTAATATATTTGAGTTGTGTCAGTATTTTTTATTTTACAATAAAGGGGTTGAAAGAAAAGAATACCAGACTCCTAAGTTGTTAGATCAGATCCCCACATATTTCGTTCTTCATTATAGTTATAGAATATTTCTCGCTGGCAAACTCAGAGTAGCCAGGAAAATGTTGCTTGACTTCACAAAGAAAAAACCATGCAAAAGAGAAATATAGCCATTTGTTTATTTCTTTTTAGTGTATTCTGCCTAGTAAGTGCCATTGGGACCTCAGAACCTGTTCTCAGCGCATACAAAACACATAGGCATTCTTTTCTGGTAGGTTCAACTGTCCTATGGTTTTTAATTTTAGGCATACAGCAAATGGGATAACTAGGGCAGGCATGGTGATACACACCTATAATTCCAACACTCTAGGAGGTTGAGACAACAGTAGCTTAGCATGATCTTGTCTCAAAATTTTAAAAGGGCTGGAGAATGCAGATCAATGTGAAGGCCTTGGGTTTAGTCTGCAGTGTGCATGCGTGCGCACACACACGCACATGCACACACATGCACACACACATATATAACTAATAAAGGAAATGGGTGCAAGAGGAAAAAATCACCTGCGATCCCACTTCCCTGGTAACTCATAAATCATAAAATTATATTTTTCCCTTAGTGGGTTGTTGAGGATTTTACTTTTATTGATAGTGATATTTTTGTTTTGGGGATAGGAGTTGGCTATTTTAGCAAAAATTCTTTCCCAAAATGGAATTCATTCCGAAGAAGACACCTTTTGTGCTTTTGGCTTCTTGTGAAAACCACCAGAGCATCTTTTCTATTATTATTTAGTATGTAATATATGAAGCAACAGAAGTGCTCTTCCCCACCTCTGCTGGGCCTGGGGCAAGCAGCTAGCCGTATTCCTCATCACCTGAGGTTGTGTTCAGAGCGGAGAGCTCCCAGCATGCTTGTTAGCATTCTCTCAATACATCCCCTCTTTCTCATTTTCCGGCTTTAGTTGAATGCAAAAGAGTGGCTCAGCAACAGGACGAAGAAGAAAAGGAAAAAGAGGATGATGAGAAAGTACTGCACAGAACACGGGAGTGGGATGACTGGAAGGACACCCACCCAAGGGGCTATGGCAACCGACAGAACATGGGTTAGTCTTCCCACAGCACAACAGGACTCCAGGGCTCGGACCTTTCCTGCCAAGGAAACTACCACCACGCCCTGCCTGGCTCCGCTTTGTCTGTGTACAACGAAGGCAAAGATGCTGACTCTCGCTTTGCATTCAATAAAGGGTCAAACAATTAGGTGTGTATTTGTACCCTAGGTAATAACTAGTGATCTTGTTATGACATTACTAATTCTCATCATGGTGTATTGTGATTTTCTTAAGTGGACAAAAAGTACACTGGGAACTGATTCTGTATAATCAATGGTGTATGAATTCTCTAAAATGAAATAATAAAATCCCTTTTATTCCATGAGTCTGCAGAAATGTGGTTATCAGCTGCTTTCTTGGAGATATGGTGTGGGATGGGTCTCTGGGCTGAGATCCCAATCACCTGCCTTTGTCCTGGGCAGGGAATTGCTCAGCATCAGAGCTGCCCAGACATTCTCCTTCCACCTAGGCCTACGGTGTGAGCTGCAAGCAACACCCCTCTCTGTGAAAGCACACAAACCAGGACTTCCCCAGCCATACCACTGTTTCAGGAACTAGAGCTGTAGATGAGTGGATCATTAAGGACTAGAGACTGTTTTCCCAATCCTGACTTAGCTCTCTTGGCCAGAAGAGACAATTGCTCCAGAGAAGGTGCTATGAGAGACCTGTGTGAGAGTGGCCAGGCCCTTCCCTCTCATGGAAACACTGACCTAGCCATCAGGATGAAGAAACAGCCTTGGGCTTCAGTCTAGCTCTTAAAGTGGCCGCCTTAGACCCTGTTGGCCCTCCTTGCCCGTGGCATGTGGCATCTGACACAGGTGTTCTGATCAATGTGCCGTGGTTTGCCAGCTGCTTAGGTGCCCGTGTGTGGGTGTGGAGGAGCGGGCAGGCACAGATGACTCTGAAAGCTGTTGATTTTCCAGAGTGGAGAGAAGACACTGTCCTCAGCTCTTGGGTGATATCCTATGAAAGGAGCCACGTGTTGAAATAAATGATCTGCACAGGAAACAGCCTTTTGTTCTGCAGCTTTGGTACACTTAGGCTTTCTTTTTAAGAGGCAGATGACTCAGCCCTCACTTCTGCAGTCTAGCTGAGGAGAGGGGTTTGAAAAGGAGACTTTCCTCTTGGGGGTGGAAGGGGCTGCCAGGTGATGAGGAGAAGGTGGTTTCGTGGCCAACAACAGCAGGACTACTGATAATATATTTGTACACTACTTAATAAGAGACTCAGCTCACTTCCACACATAAGCACTCCAAATCGGTAGAGCACAGATTAAATTCCTTACAGATAAGGAAGCAAGCGATGTTTTCAACTCTCCTCCAGTTGTTGCCAAGCTGCCTCTAGCTATGCCCTATTTCCTGCCCTTTGAAATTCTATCCTGAGTTCATTTCCCAAACCTGGCCAGGTTGGAGTCTCCTCTTGGTCTGGGTCCATTTAAGATTGGGCCTTCCGGAAGCTCCAGCTCAGTTAAGCCTCTGTATTCTTCTGAGAGCCAAGAAGCAAACTGGACAAGGTGGATTTGAATCCTGGCCTTAAAAAGTGCAAGCTGTGTGACACTGGGCAATAAAACCTGAGCTACTTGGTCAGTGTACGTAGATGAGCCGTCTCCTGGGGCTGTGAGAATTCAGTGAATAATGCAGTCATCTCTTAAGCAACTAAAGAGTAAAGGCTTTCTGTTGGTATCAGTTCAGTGGTCGTCCACTAAGAACGGAAAGGTGCCTCTAGTGTGCACCAGGCACCATCTCAACTGTTAACACAGTGACTGTGACTGCAAAAAGGTTGCATTGTCCCCAGTTTACAAAAGAGAAAAGAAGGCCAGAGAAGCTGAGTGGGTTCCTGAAGTTCACACTAGTAAAACACGATACTTCTGTCATTTGCCGTGTGCTTCCCAATTGCTTGTGCTTTTAGCTGCTTCCAAGTGCAAGCAGCTTTAAAAATCCAAACTCCACCCACCACGTTATACACCAGTGGAGCTCTGTGGATTCCTTCTTAGCTGGTTCACCAAACAAAAGGTTATGTCAACTGGCCCTGCCCTTTGGGCTAGGGGATTCGAAGCCAGGTAGAGGCCTTGAGCAGGCCCACCTTCTTCCATCCTCCCAGCTTCATTCTGCCAAGAGACTTGCCAAGAAACATTCAACCTGCCCAGAGACCAAAACAGCACCACCTTCTAGACTCCCGTCAGAGCCAGTGCTTTCAAGGGCCCTAGAAAGAGCTCGGTTTGCTGGTTTCTCAGAAGCCAGGACTCCTCAAAGTTTCTACTGATACCAATACTGCTTCATCGTTGGCAAAATACTTTCAACACTGCTGATGATGCATACTTACATGTCTGATGCGTTTATGTGCTTATACAGATGCTACTGGTTTCAATCGCCAACCTGTCAGGAAAGATGTGATACCTTCATTTTCCAGAGGAGGAAACTGGCCCTGAGAGATGAAGAGCCTGCAGACATAGCGGTTTAGCCAAAGTGTCTGCTCTCTCAGGGCTGGGAATTACAGTAGGAAGGTGTATGCGTGACACTGTTCGCTTTAACACCATTACATGCTGATTTGTCCTTCCCACTCTTGCTCCTCTCAACATCTTTTGAGGAAGACATGTTAGCGAGCTGAACAGGCTGATTGTAAATAGAAAAAAAATGGAGTTAGAGTCTTGAATTTGTCTCCGTTCTCTAGGATCTGCCACTCCCAAGCTGGGCAACCCCTTCCTCCAAAAGTCTTCACTTCTGCCATTTAAATCGACTTGAAGGAGCGGGGAGAGTTTTGAAACTTAAACTACTTCTCTGTGTCACCTGAATGCACAAATTCAGGAAGTCCTCTTCCATTTCCTCTGGGCCTCCAGTTGGCTCATCAGCCCAGCAGGCACACTGCCATAGAGCAATACCATGTTACCATGGTCTCCTTGCAAAACAGCTCTCTCCAACACCTGGATATCGTTTCCTCATACATTCCTTTCAACCCACTGAGCCGAGATGCAGCTCTAACCAGCGCAGTCCACTCATGTTCCAAAACATGGAGACGTGGGCACCAGTCTCGGCTGTGTCATTGTATCTTACCCTGTCCTAGAGGCAGCCAACAAGTGCCTGCTTACAGGCCAGAGTGAGGAGCGAATGAGATCAAATATGTGAACCCTTGAACAGGTATAAAACACTACGGGAAGGAGATAGGTAAGGGCAGTCAGAGCCGGAATGATGGCACACCCTTGTAATCCCACCTCTTCTGGGAGGCTGAGGTCGGAGGATTGCAAGTTTTAGCCCAGCCTGAGCTATTTAGTGAGACTCTTGCAATTTTTTTAAAAAAAAATTCATTTTAAAAAATTTTAAGAAAAGAGCTAGGGCTGTACCTCAGTGTGAAGGCCCTGGCTAGCTTCAATCCCCTGAACCACTGGAGGAAAAACAAAAGCAAGAGTAGTCAGCTGTTGGTAAACTAGGGGGACAGAGGGAGGGATTTTTTTTTTCTAATTCAGTGCTTGACAACTTTTAGAGCTTTTTATATAAAAAAAATTTCAGATATTTGGAAAATGGTACAAGAAGTATAATGAACCCGTTTACCCATTACCTTCCACAACTGTCAACTCCTCACTAATCCCACTCCTACATACATCCTGTCTGTTATTAAGGAATTGTATTTTTTATTTTGTTTTGTTTTGTTTTTGTGTATGATGGCATTTCAATTTTGAAAAGAAGAGTCTCTCTCTCTGTTGCCCTGGCTGGTGAGAAAACCCCTGGGTTTAAGCAATCCTCTTGCCTCAGCCTCCCAAGAGCTGGGACTATAGGCATGTAGCACTGTGCCAAACCTGTGATTATATTTTTAAAGGGAAGTTTTGATCTTTTGGAGATACCTTCTGAAATACGTATAGATGAAAGAAGATGATGCTAGAATGCTAACTTTGCTGTGATCCCTGTCCCTCAAATGCTTTCTCAGCCCGTCTTCTATACACCACCAACAGCCAGGAGGGGTGTGGCATGATTTTCCTTGTGTGCTAAGACAACCAGTGTAGTGGAATCTGAGAGATGGGTTACCTATCTGTCTGCCAGGCCACCTTTAACAAATGTCTCTCGGAAGCACAAAGCACAGGGAAGAAACTAAGGCGGGGTCAAGACACTGTGGTGGCGTAGTCCTTTGGCAAATACGTGTGAGGGGATAATGAACAGTCCGTCTCTTGTCCCAACTGGAAACAAATCCCTCAAAAAGACTAGAAGTAAGCAATGTCAAAGGCCAGCATAGTCCAGTATGGTAACAGAAATAGTACTAATAGCTACTGTGCACTGAGCACTGCTGCTGTATACCCTAAGCAGAGCGTTACACACACACTATTCCTAATCCTTACAATGGCCCAAGGGAGATACTATTATAGCCTGAATTTGTAGATGAGGAAATTGAGGCTCAAAGAAGTGATGTCCCAAAGGTCACTCAGCTCTGAATGGGCTTGGACTCCAGTCAGCCTGACTATGAAAACCAGAGTGTCTCTAGGCAGCACAAAGCAGGGGGACGAATGAAGGTAGGACCAAGACACTTTGGTGACACAGTGCTCTGGGGATAAGGTCTTTCTCTTTTTCTCTGGTTTTTTTTTTTTTTTTTTTTTTGGTCTTTTTGAGACAGGGTCTCACTGTGCAGTTCGGGCTGAC